TGTTACTGCAGCTCCGAGTTGCTGTAATATGCAAATTTCCCCATTGTGGGATCAATAAAGTTATCTTATCTTATCTCTTATCTTAAAGGTCAAAGAAAAATAAAATAAAATAAATGAATGTGTCTCAATGCATTCCTCTGCCTCCATTCATTTGCATGGTGGCAACTCTATACACTATGTTTTTATTCTTCCGTCAACTTTAATGTGGTCAGTACAGCAAAGTGTACCCACACTAATGTCATACCAAGACAACGGGCTCACTCCTGTGACATGTGCTATTACTTTCAGTTGTGTTTGGAGTTACCACGGCAATGTAAATCACAAACAAAACTAAGCCTAAAAACCTACTTTGAATACATTGCGCTAAACTGGGCTGAAATTTGGTGTTGTGGTACCTGAGAACAATTCAATCGCATTCTGAATCCAAATCAGAAACCCAAGATGGCTGTCATAGCTAAAATGTAAAATCAACCATAATTCAGCCGTTTTTAGCCATATTAGGATCAAATTTGGTGTGGTGGTAGCTGAGAACGATCCTCATCATACACCGACTCAAAATCAAAATTTCACAATGGTTGCCATAGTCAGAAGAATCCAATTTGATTCAAAAYACTTCATTGATCCCAAATGGAAATTACAGACTGGACCATAACTCAGCCAGTTTTAGTCATATTAAGGTAAACTTTAGTAACGTTGTGGATGACATTGATTTCCAACAAATAGTAAACTCAAATACTAATTTAAATTGAATGTCACCTGGAAAGCCCTAGCTTCTCCGGGGACTATTGTAGTTATTTAGATATAAGTCTGTTAGTGACAAGCAAAAACAGTGGCAGCAGCATCTATCTGTAGCACTTCTGATGAAGTCTGAAGGCACTTTAGTCTGGGCCCAACTAGGCATTAGCTTGTCATTCTAGTCAGAATTAAACTGTTTCTCCAAAATTAGGTCAAAAAGGTATCACCAGTACTGAAAAMCCCCACCTTAAAATATCTGAACTATCCCTTTAACAAACACTAACAGTTCTGTTACCCATAATAATTACAAAGTTCTTAGCAAGTATAGCAGCCAAAATGTCTGCTATGTTTCTGAGTCTGCCAGTCAAAGCGTTTTTTTGATGGAAGGTCCTCGTTTGTTGAAGAGGTGTCCCAGGGTCTTGCACATGCATTCAAAGGGAGGGAAAGGGTTCTGGCATTTCACAGAGGAAAATTTTACTCGTAAAATTTTCTCAAGACGTAATGGAAAAGTTGCTTCTGAAACTTGACATGCAAAAGTGCTACATAGGTGTTCTGTGATAAAACGTTTCATTTTACACTGATGTAACGCGAGATTTATGCAACGGATTAAACTAAGTGTAAATATTGCTGTCGATCTTGTTTTTATAGTTAACTGGTGGGAGTTTTAGAAGTTAAGTCAGTTATTTTTTTGTCTGTTGTGAAATTTAATGTTTTCTCATGCAGGGTTGGAAGAGGTTGTGATAGGGCTGCAGTCATGCAGTTACATACATGCATCAGATTGGCATAGCCCACACCGTGTGCCAGTGATCAATCATGTTTTTGTGTGAGCTAGCCAGTCTTTTAAACTCTCCCTCTTTAATTTTTCGGTCTGTATTTATTTCCCTGTTTTCCCTCTTTCATCATTCCTTTTTGTTTTCAARCTCTGAAAGCAGGCAGTGCTCAGAAAAATAGACTACCGACCAGCCCCTCCATTCTCCTTACTCCTGCGCTTTTTATCTATCATTTTGAGCCTCTTCTCCTCCCGCAGACGCGCCTCCTCCTCCTCCTGGTCCTGTCGGCACTTGTGGAAGTTCTCCACCACCACGCCGACGAACATGTTGAGCACAAAGAAGCTGACGATGAGCAAAAAGGAGATGAAGTAGAGCAGCATCCAGGGATTGTGGTTCCTCACAGGCTGAAGGGGGGGAGAGCAAAGGGTTAAAAAATGTGTTTTTAGTTCGCTTCTGGGCAGTTTGTTCATGGTTTTGTATAAAAAATAAAAAAAATAAATCAAAACTAGATAACATTTATATTTAGCTACTGGACTGGTAAAACATATAGCCTGTATGAATGGTCAGTACAAAGCCACCTCACAATATATTTTCCTATACAAGAAAACAAATCTTTGATTTTGTTTCATTGCACCATAAAAAAATTCAATTTCCAGAAGAATGCATTTTATATTTTTAAATGTTCATAGAAGGTAAAATGTTTGATTTTCATTTTAGAAAAATCAACTGGCATGCCTCTCAAAATCATTTGCGACATGCCTCAACTTTAAAATCCAGCGTGGCTACCTTGTGSATAAAAATACAGTATAAAATAATAAATATCAAACCTTTTTTATTTTTACTTCTGTTTGTTTGTTTTTCAGTACTTTAGTCAAACCTGTTTAGTAACATGTTGCTACAGCGCTAAAATACAAAGAATGCAGAGGAATTAGTTAATAGCTTGCATTGCTAATTAACCTGGTCACTGAACAGAACTATAATCAAATCCTATTTTATTAATTTATTTTACTTTCAACTAAAACAGGATTATGTCAGATCCCAACTCATTCCAAGATCTGAGGTGCAAGGGCAATATAAATTTCTGCAATTTTCAAAAATCTTACTGTGGTTCATGCAAGCATTATGTTCATAAACGTTTACATGTCAATTTTGCATTACACGTTTACTTCATGCGATATTCGTGACAGTACTGCCCAACCAGTAGCGCAAGTATATACTTTCTGAGGTGTATGCAGACACTTTATCTACTTTCTGCTTATGGTTTCTGTTTTGTGCCCTGGAGAGCTTTCTTTTCTGCCCCTCCATCTTTAACTCCCTGTAGTCAGGTGCACCTTGATTTAAATGGATAAAACAAACTGCCAAGCGCATTCTCGAAGGGGCACATACTCGAGTGTCCTTAGTGTGTGTGGGAGGGAGAGTGACGTGTATGGAGAGAAAATAGACTCGTAAAGTTTTTGTGTGTAATATGGTTTGTATGTGTGTGATAAAGTTTGTGTGTGTGTGTGTTTGTGTGTGTGTAAACCATGATTTGTAACCCGTAAAGAACATTTTGTGTGTAACTTTGGGTATTTCGAAAGTGTGTGTTCAAATGTACACACAAATATTTAAAAATACCAATACAAAATAAAAGTATACACGCACAAATATAATTTACACAAACATTAAAATTTCACATGAATTTTTTGCCTTTAACCTCATACATCTGATAATTACATATTCAAACTGGCTCCTACGCATACAAGTCCTTAAATACGCACGGACAAAACTAAATTTATGCACAGATCAGGTTATGAGTGCACAAAACATATGGAGACTGTTTTCACGCTGCCGAGAGCTCCCAGATTCGTGTAAATGATGCATTTACATGCTGCTAAAAAGCTGGGACATTTGAACTTCCTTCTGTGCTTTGTATTATTTCCATGAAAAAGTATTTCTTCGCTTTACTTGTACCGAAGTGGTAAAGACATTCTTTTTGTTTAAGAAAAAATAAAAGAGAAATAAAAATAGCTCAGCATCCCTTAGTTCTACTTTTTAATATTATAAGAAACAGATACTGAGCGGTCAGTTTTGATTTTGTGACTTCTTTTTCTTTCTCTTTTTTAACAAGTGCCATGACCCAGAAGTTCTCGCTGCCCCAAAAACGCGGCTTGTATTGTAGAGGCATTTGTGTCCAGACGTTCAAAACAGTGTAGAATTGATCTGATCATATTTACACACAGTGAACTTTATATTTTAACTATATTTTGTTTAAAAATGCACAAGAAGAGAAAAAGTCTGAGATATCGGCGCAGAGGTCCAATTACATCGRTTTGATGTATGAAGACGTTATAGTGCTTTTATCGTGAAAGGACAACGTAACTGTCTGTTGGTGGAAAGTCAACATGGAAACATAGTTGTCTCGTTAAGTTTTATTATATAGTTTTATTACATTATGCTTGTATTATAAGTATAAGTATTTCAGTTGGATTCGACAGAGCTACATTTCASCTCCACATCATGTCGGCCACTCGCAACAACAGTAAGTGAAACTCTTACTTTTATAATAATTGGTGATTCTGTATTATTTCACTTGTAGAACTTTTAAAGGTTTAAAAAAGGACACGTTGAAATGCTTATTTTGTGTTTTAAATACCGCATAGCTGTGTTATCTATGTTGTTTTGGTACTAGTGGCAGAGTTTATTACTAGTACTAGTAACCGTGGTTCTGAAGGCAGGACTGAAGTTTATTTTCAGCCTCACCACCAGAGGGTGCAGCYATTTTTTGAGTCATGTTGTTTGTAGCACAATGTTCATAAATGTAGTGAGAGATAATAAAAGGTAGTTTGAAAAAGAGTGTGCGTCCTTAAGACTGGTAAGTTTTAGTATTTATGTTTAAGCATGATAATTGTATTTCTGGACATTTCTGTTTTACTAGTCTAACTCAAGAGCTATGCTAAGCTAAGTTTACTTTAGTTATTTTTACAACATGTTTAGTTGCTTTCTTTTAGTTTACCTAATACTATAAATGATTGAAACTCAAGATAGGAGTAATGATAAGTGTCTTAGTTTCCTTATGACCAACAATGGTTTATTACCGACTATGTTTTATGTCTTTGGTCCTAGTAGTGAGGTTTTCAAGCTAAGAACAATAGCCTGCTAATTTCAACATTAGTGTTTATATTGTATTGTAACTGTGACATCTCACATTCTCTTTTTATTCTGAAAAATTACATACAACCCAAATGAATGCAAAAAATGAAATATTCTACAACTTAGAAAAATGAACATGTGAAACCCATGGCCCATCATTTAGAGATTAGTGTGGGTTTTTATATTTATTTAATGTACAGTACGTTTCTGTATTTTTGTTGTTTTTCAAGAATATACACGAGTTACCAAATATCCATCCCTCACCACACTCTCAGAGAAACATCCCATGTTTACCTGCTGATCCACCCCCACTGCATCCAGTCCATCATACATGATGTTAACCCAGCCGTCCTTACACGACAGCACAAACAGAGACATCAGAGCCTGGAGAAAAAAAAACACAGAGATGTGAAGAAATGCTGCCTTGCCAAGAAATGTTACCACAAATTGGGAAAAAAAATCTGTTAGAAACAGGTCACGGTGACACATCACGTTCCCAAATTTGTTTCACTTAATTCCTACCTGAATCAAGTTGTCAAAGTTGTACTTTCTTCGTATCCAGCGGTATTTGGCCTGTTCACAGTCAGACTTGTTCGTGATGTTTTTTGTGTCCAGACCCTCACAGTGGTAGAACTTCCCTTTGAAAAGCTAAAAAAGGCAAATAATAGTAAAAAGAACTAAGGTTTTTTTTTTTTTTTGGTTGTCATTTCCTCATTATCTAAAATGCAGCAATATTTGTTGCATTTTAAGCATTCAGGGATAAAAGGATGTTTCAGAGATTTCGTCCTTACTGGAAGATTTCTGAGTTCTTGATTAACAAATGCCCTGAGGGTTGTGTTGTTCCTTTTCCCACTTAACCCAGCTGTCATTTTTTTCACACTTGCTGTCTTGAGAAACAAAAGCTTTGTATCCATTGGATTTTCAGGGTACTTGAATTCCCCAAAAGACACAATCACCTACAGTATGTAGCTGCTCAGCACTGCTGACATTTAAGCAGCAAAGGGTAAAATAACTCAGGAGAGCAACACCAACCTGCATAATCTGTACAGCTTGTGCCAACATGACTATGCTGTGAAACAGTAATTACCTGGACCCCCAGGATTCCAAACACAATGAAGAAGGCGCAGCAGATCAAAACAATGTTCCCAATAGGTCTAAGGGACGTGATGAGCGTCTCCACCACCAGCTTTAAACCTGGGGCTCGGCTGATCACCCTGGAGATAAAATCATTAAAAGTCAATAACAATAATGAAATAAAGGATTCAGTTACCAGACACACAAAACAAACCTGAGTGGACGAAGTGTGCGTAGAAGACGAAGGACTCKGAGAATTCCCAGGATCCTGTTTCCACTCGTGTAGGCCAGAGAWACCAGGATGTCCACCAGAGACACAAACACCAAAACTCCATCCAAAATGTTCCAACTGGACTGAAGGTAGCTCTGCTTCCCAAAGCAGAACCCAAGAGCTACAACCTGATGAAATAATAGTGGAGACATGGAATTATCCAAACCATATCTATTAAGCCTCTAAATATTTAACTTTAAAGTGGACATATCCTGCTTTTAAACCTTCTTTGTCACATGTAAATCATTCTGTTGGGGTCTATATTAAGTGGAACTGCAATGCTTTGGTCTGAATTCCTCCTTATTGTAACTCCACAAGCCCCTCTTTCCTTTTCACTTTTTTCGCTTTTCTGAGGTGTCTGTGGGCAACTCATTTTTGTGCTGTCTCTTTATGTGAGGTACACACCCTGCCAGAGATATGATTATGTAGCAGTGCAGAAACATTTTATTTACAAATTGAATAAAAGATGTCAACAACAGAAGACTTGTCCATCCAGCCTTACATGTTGGAACCAGAATCTGACCCAGAGCGAGAAGAGAATGAAAACAAATGACCAGCAAATTATATGACGTTATTATTCAAAATGCATTACAGGTAATAAAATACTGAACGGATTGAAAACTATGACCTGAACAGAATGTAAATATATCTTTGCAGCCCTGGGAGACACTACATTCAAATTTTCTGCACTTCTGGGGCCTCATGTGTAAACGGTGCATACGTATAAAAAAGTTACGTGCGCCAGGTTCTAYGCCCACGTTGTGATGWATMAAAACCAACGTTGYGTGAAAGTGTGCGTATATTTACGCACACTTTTCACCTGMCRTGAGAATGTGCRGCAGCCAAACAAAGTTTTTCAGTYGACAGTTTTAACCCACAAAGTCATGAATCTGACCTGAATCCACAGAAATATGACTTTGTTGTGTTTTCTGGATGTAAGGAAAGTCTGAACATGGTGTTAGACTTTTATTTTAGTTTGAGTTTTTGTTGTTTAAACTCAAACGATCATGGAACCGAACCCCGAGACTGAAAATCATTTAACCTCAGACAAGGAAATAGATCAGTCTAAAAATGATCAAAAGAACCTCAGTCCAGTCTRT